CCGGTCATATCATCTCACTTGACAAACATTGGTCCAGTATCTCAGGCATGGTGAACCACGTCAGAGGTCAAGGGGACACCCCGCCGCTCATCCATCACGAGGCACACAGTGAAAGGGATGTTTGTCATTTTGCAGGGTTGATTGGATTGAGAATATCCATTTTAGTCTTTGATTGAACAGTACATGTCTTGGCTTATAGTTGCTAAATTCTATGATTGTACAGTGTTCCCATTATCTACAGTGACCTTCCCACGAGCTTCCTATTTTGTCCATGGATGAACAGGGGAAGGTCACAAATCCTCCTCTATAAATATGATGATATTGGATAGAGGAGGGGATCCAATTTTTCTCTCACTAAAGTTCACTCTTGAGATAGAGTAAGAAATATAATTCGGACTGAGGAGATTTACCCGGTCTAGGTCATACTTTGTGTTCTTGTTGTGTGTTTTATATTACGGGTCGAGTGTGTCCAGGTCAAACCCGGTTAACCCACCCAGCTATATTTACACCATCACTTGCGATCCACCATGAATTTCTTTTCTATTAATTATTCTTCGTCCCACTTCTCATTTGATTTTTCACAATCTTGAATATTACACTTTTACCATTATTACTTGCGGAGTATATTATTTATACTTCTTCCGTCTCATAAAGATGTTTCTGTTTTGAATTTTAAAAAATTAAGCGAAGGATAATTTTGTGTTGACTTTCCAAAAATATTCTTGATGTGATGAGTAAAAGTAGGATGTGATGGGTAGATTATGAGTAAAAAAGGTACTCCCTCCGTCCCAATTTATTTGTAACACTTCGAAAGACGTGCAAAATATCATCTCTTTTAAAATCACTTTAATTTCAAATTGGTAGAGTAATAAAGAGTAAAAATTACACCATTTAAAAGTACATGAAAAGCTCTACAAAACAAGATGCGACAAGAATATTTTATTTTATCAAATGGTCAATCAAAACGAGTAAACAAACAAAAGTTATCGAGAGACCAGAATAGTAAACGTGACATTTTTTCTGGGACGGAGGGAGTATAATGTGTATGTAGGTTAAGAATTAGTAGGGGTAAAAATATGTTTTTATTAGAATATAGAAGGATTTTGTGTGACAAGAAAAAAAAGAAAGGGGAAAAGTTTTTGGGACTGAGAGTACATAGATATATTTTATAAAAATTTAATATTCGAAAATTACGTTTCAATAGGAATATATGGATATTACTTAAATTTATATCATACCCAAGTAATATATTACCCGGAATATATTTTTTTCCCACTTATCAGAGTCAAAAAATTTACAAACTTTATTTGATCAAGAAAAATCAAATGAAAAAAACATTTTTGGATGGGGAA